ACAGCAAGATGTGGCCCACAACAATAACAGATCAAATGGGAGAGTCCAGGGAGGGATACAAAATCAAGGAGCAGAACAATATTTTTCATTAGTGAGTGCATCACACTGCTCAGTGATAAACACCCTGGGGTACTAGGTTACCTTCACTTGATCAGCATTAAGCTTCGTTCTTTGTGTCGCAACTTCAATCAATGATTCGTACTGCTGTCCTGTTCCAACCATTCCATCATCGTACAAAGCATTGAGTTGAGCCAGAACTGCAGGTTGGAATTTGGTCGCCATTTTGTTTCCAATAACCCATAGTAAAGTAGTACGAAACGTTTCCTATTTTTAGTAGTAGTATTGCTACAGAAAGTTTCCGGACCGGGTGAGCTAATAGATATCTGAATAACCTGATAAATAATTATTACAAAACATAAATGAAATAAAAATTATAAAAATAAAATTCAAAGAAACTACAACAGCATAGATCTTATAAAGTATGACAAGGTAGAATCTAATATAAAAATTAAATTTTCTTATCATTACACAAAATCCAGCCTGTCTTTAATATGCTCATAATAAGGTAAAGCAGAACAAAGTTTTTTGTGTTGTTTGTCTAGCCTGAGTCCCCTTAGTGTATTATCAGTCTTGAGTGATTTCATCAGTATCATTACTCCATCAGTATCAATGTTAGTATTATGGACAGAAAGTCGAGTCAGTGTGTTGTTAGTGAGTAAAAGTTCAGCCAGTGACTGAGCACAAGCTGAAGTGATGCCAGGGTTGTAACCAAGATATAAGGATTTAAGTGTTTTATTATATTGTAGTGATTGTGCTAGTGCAATGACTCCATCATCACTCATTGAACCATTTGTTAGGAGTAAAATTTTTAATGATTTGTTGGTTGATAGTTGAGAAGAGAATGAGAGGATATCATCACGTGATAATAATGAGAAGTATATTTCAAGTTGATATATTGTTCCTTTCTCCAATACAGTTGGTATTAGGACATGTGTACTGTCAGATGATGGGTATCGGAGTATAATCCTCTTATGTTCCTCCTTCAGTTTACTGATTACCTCCTTACATTGATCTACTGATGGTCTAGTGAGTTGTACACGATCCTGACTCCACTCCACCACTTCATCCTCTTGTACTAATAATAAACACACAACTAGTCAGTTAATGCAGGTATTCATGTAATTCATTTACATAAAGTTAAAATATAATGTTCCATTAAAATAATAATTATTGCTAACACACACACACCCACACACTGATGATGCAGTGGGTTTATTACAATTACAATGCTGTCAATGCATATACAATAGCAAATTCGAATAGTGTAACTCACAATTTACTGTTAGTGATTTATCATCAGGTTTCATTACAATGTCTCCATTACCTGTATGATTATTAATATTATAATAATTCATTTATTCGTTCATGTACTTGATGTGTCATCATCAGATGATTCATCTTTAATTGTCTCTGATGTCTCTTCAACTGGTACTTGTAATCCTTATAATAAAATAAAATAAAATTAATGTTGTATTTAATGTATTATACATACTGTTATTGTCTTCAAGTTTCAGCTTCAGTTGTTCTATTTCTTGTAGTCTAGTCTCTGACAGTTCCTTCAATGATGTTAACTCTTTCTCAGTATCTGTA